TGGGCAGCCTGGGCGGGTGCGGCCCCAGCCAGCAGGCCAGGTGGTGAAGGGGTTACCGCTGCCTGGCTCCGTGGGCTCCCCCCCTCCGCAGAAGCGCTACATTAATTTATTTCATGAAGGCAAATATTTATTGTGGGGGGAGTTTCCTACGTCTTATGGATTTTGTGGTTTCAAAGACAACCAGGCCGGCTGGCGTCCCTCAGGCTGGGGCAGCTTGTGGGGTTGTCTGGCTGGGGGCCGAGACCGAAAGAGCATCTGACGCCTGGCTCCGTGGGCTCCCCCCCTCCGCAGAAGCGCTACATTAATTTATTTCATGAAGGCAAATATTTATTGTGGGGGGAGTTTCCTACGTCTTATGGATTTTGTGGTTTCAAAGACAACCAGGCCGGCTGGCGTCCCTCAGGCTGGGGCAGCTTGTGGGGTTGTCTGGCTGGGGGCCGAGACCGAAAGAGCATCTGACCAAAGCAGGGTGTGGACGCAGGACGAAACGGGGCCATTCTCCCGCCGGGGCCTTTGTGACAGGCACGTGGCATTGCTGGGGGCGTGGGAGGCAGCAGCACCGTGGAGCGGGGGCAGCGCCTGTCACTGCAGGACAAGGGGATGTGCGAGCCACTTGCCTCGGGGCTGGGATCTGAGAGACTGGTCACCTGGGCTTGGGGGTCGCATGGCAGCAGCCCCCTCGGCTGCCACGTGGAGCACTGCTGCTGGACGTTGGAGGCCGGCCCTTCCCACCTGGAGAGGAGTCTTGCGGGATGAAAAGGGGGAGAAGGACGCTAGCACAGGTGGAAATTGCACTGCCTGCTCGCCTCTTGGGCTCTGCATTCGAGGGCTGCTCTTCCCGTTGACCTGAGCAGATGGTCCGCCGTCCCGGCTGCTGGGCGCACTGGTAACTGCTGGGTCGGTTAGCAGCTTGGAAACTCGGTGCCCGCTCAACGGTCCGGATCCTCAGCGGTAGGTCGGCTACTGAATCCCTCGGATTCATTGGACGCTGGGGGCTTAAATACCTTTGCGGACCTGCACCCGCTGCGGGAAAGACGACGAACGTCCTTGGAAAGTGTCCGTGCCTAAACCGTGGTCCTCAGACTTCCAGGCTTGAGGCTTCAGCGCGGCTGTGGAGGTCTCCTCACGCCCACCCCGCGGGGAGGGACAAGGTGGGGCGTATTGGCGACGCTGGCTCTGCAGGAGGGGGAGCTGCTTTCTGGAGGGAAGGTGGGGCGCGTGCGTGTCTCTGTGCACCATGGTAACAGTCGGGTGTCATGGGGCTTCCTCGCTGTCTCCGTTTTAATTGACATCGTCCGTCAGCCATCAATCACCATGCCGCTCATAGAAGCCTTAGATCTACAGTTTAGCTATGCAAATTATTTTAAAAAAACAAACGTTTAAATAGTGCTTTCTTCTTTAACATATCCGAGGAGTTGAAACCGAGGGGCTTTGAGCAAACTTCTGAACTGCTTATCTTTGGATGCACTCTGGAAATAAACATCTTTCCCCCACCCCCTCAAACTAACAAAGCATATTAGTTGATGGTGTCTGTGCGAGTGTCTCCAAAGACTCGACAGTGCTGCATCTGTGAGTCGTACCGTCTGTGTCTCCAGCTTGTGCAAAATACTGTGACGCTGTCTGTTGTGTCTCTGTAGTCCTCTAACGCTCCCGTGGCTTGGGGGAGTGGGCCTAGGCAAGGGGTTTCTTGTCGGGAGTAGAAAAGGCTCAGCCGCGCTTGTGGAAGTCGACTGTTGCTGTAGGGTTGGAGCAGATCTTTTAACCCGAGGACTTTCGCATGGAGCCCGGTTCCCCAATTGTTTGTGCAGGGGCAGCACGTTTCATCTGAGTGATCCTGCTGATTCTTCGTGGCAGGGGCGTTTGGCGTCTCTTTGTGCCGCTCGGATGAGCCATGAAGAGTTGGTGGGTTAACGTGGGTCCAACGCTGGACCTGTAATTGCAGCAGGGTTCGCCCTGACGTGGCTCGCTGCCTCGCAAGGAAAGCACCGGAGGCCTCCCCCGGGCGCTCTGGCTGCATTGACTTGGGCAGGAAAGTCTCTGGCGCGGCGGAACACGGGAATTTTTCCTGCTCGCAGGAATTGGAGCACCTGGCCAAGCCCTGGAGCCATAGGAACTTGGAGACTGGTGGATGCTCTGATAGCCATAGGAAACGGGCCTTGTAATTGACTTCCCCAGCCACAGGGCGACAGTATTGTACATGGAATATTTGCTTCCTGCCAGCAGGCAGGTTACACATGTGCCTGGTTTGAAGGCTGGTTTGTGCTCAGCAAAGCAAGTCAGGGAACCCCTGGCCAAGCCCTGGAGCCATAGGAACTTGGAGACTGGTGGATGCTCTGATAGCCATAGGAAACGGGCCTTGTAATTGACTTCCCCAGCCACAGGGCGACAGTATTGTACATGGAATATTTGCTTCCTGCCAGCAGGCAGGTTACACATGTGCCTGGTTTGAAGGCTGGTTTGTGCTCAGCAAAGCAAGTCAGGGAACCGGA